AACATGTGAACTCTTTATAAGTGACATCACTTTTTCAAATTTACCAACATCTCTCAAACCATTGACATTCCATGACCATATACTGAACATGATGAGCAATGAGAGGTACATATTACACTTCAACATGTGTTTCATCTATATTTATTTCCTTTTCGTGATTTAACTACATTCTTTTTTCTAGGGGCTCTTCCCCCAACATGTGCCCTAATAACCTCTTCATCAGGCTTGGATATTCTCCATTTCCCCTTCACGCTTCCTGGGGCACCATCCCCACGGTATGGCTGTGAAAGAACATTGTGTTTGATCTCTTTAGACACTGCCATGCCATCATGAAAATCTACAAGCTCACTATTGTCATGATGTTCAAGATTAACTTTCTGTACAATATCTAACAGTGTGTCTGTCACATCATTCACTAAGTGAGCACTACAAGGAGATACATGTTTTTCGGCATCAGAACTACATTGGCCAACATGTACACTTCTGTCAATGATTTCAAATAGTAGTTCATTGACAAGATTTTGAGTTTCATTGTTCGAGTCAGTCACAAAATTCGTCACATGTTTATCTTGTGACATTTCCTCGTTGTCTTCCTCGGGGACATCTACAATTGTATCAACCCCTTCTTGATCATTGTCATCCTCAATTGATAATTCATTAAGAATAGGCCACCTTGCTAGAGTTGCATCCGTCTCTGTGTCCATGATGCCAATATCAACGTCATTTTCCTCATCCTTATCATGATCATCATGATTATCGTTATCAATGTCATCAGAAACATCATCATGCCCATAGCAATCACAATCTACCGGCTTCAGTTTACATCTGTGACATTTTGGAACACGACAGTTATTTTGAAGATGTCCTTGGTTCCTGCAGGTTCTACAAACAATGTTTGGACACATCTTTTTTTCGTGTTGGTCTGAAAGGCAGTGGTAGCATACTTTGATTTGCTCGTTGTGAAACTCTGAAAAAATCAAAACCTTCATGTGTCCTGAATTTGACGCTATAGGGAAGACTGCGGATCCCTTTTGGAAATTTTACTTGTGTATATCTTGTACCATCTTCCCAATTAGTGCCATGGATTTTCCTCCTGTGGATGGTATCCACTTCAATTATTCCAAACGCATGTAGGACGTTTCTAATTTCCTCATCTGTGGTATAGCTGGGCAAGTTCATAAATGAAACTACAACTCCGTTATTCACGAGAGGCGAAAGTTTGTATATTTCATGGTCAACAACAACAGACTCTCCAAGTGATTTTACTAGCGCATTTTCCGCTAGAGTAATTTCATAATAATTGTTGTTTCTAGGTGTACAGAAGTACACAGTATTGTCTCCAAGTTCTTGCTCTAACACATTGCAAAGCTCAAATGCTTTAGGGCGAATCTGGTTGTCATAATGAACCCGAACAATGTTTTCTTTTTGATAAACACGATGGCGGCCATTGTTGTTGATGTCCTGACTAGGAGGTGGCCTTTGCCCCCCAGCCTGGCGGCTCATGGTTTCTATTTCCTCCAATTACACGTTCAGGTGTAATCTTGAAACATATATGAACACAACTTCATAACAACAGTTAAATATTTCTACAAAGGTAGAAGTACTTACAATAAATAGCAGAGCACTTGCAATATGCTTCCACGTTGTGCCTCAACAAGGGAGGTCATCCAATCGCTGGATTCAAAGTCCAGAGTGCTAACCATTCGACATGGGACCAGTTGAAGGACGTGTATAATGCGTATCGATAATTTTACAATGGAATCAAGAGCAAGCAACTTGGGACACACTCTTGTGTGTGTCTATCATTTATCATGTACTGGATTGATGAAAAAACATTAAGGTGGGATTACTGTTTGACATTACAATTGTGTGAGTGATGTTGATGTGTAAAGGTAGTTTTACTTGTCCAAAGTAGTTTGCTGACTTTTTATTGGTTGTGTCTGCCACATGAAAATCATCTTTAAAATCCTGCAAAAGTATGCAGTAGGTTCTACCGAGATTTGAACTCGGATCGCTGGATTCAGAGTCCAGAGTGATAACCATTACACCATAGAACCGCTTGTCTCACACTGAAAGTCCTCGGTATTACAACTTACTCCAAATCCCTTCTGCAGAGAGGCGTGTGACTGTCCCATTATCGCACTTGTCAAGTATGATGAATGATGTGTCAAGGTGTAGTTCTGGCGTGGTGCAAGTTGTACACGCGCCGGACATAGGTGCTACACTTTAAAGTATCCCATAAACTCAATCAGTAGTTTTTTCTCGCTATTTCATTTCTGTCTTCTCTCTTGCCAGAGGTGCTCGATACTGTCTTTTTATGGATATCATTAGCCATCTAATTTGTTTTTCTTTTCAACTGTAGTTAGGAAATGTATATATCAGACGCTGTTATTTCAAAACGGCCATAATCATCAATGAAAGTGGCCTTCGTTTGTTGAAGTCATTGGCGCGTATCTTTCACGCACTTCAGGACTTTGGCAATACTCTACTTTAAAAAAGTAGGTCCCACCGAGATTTGAACTCGGATCGCTGGATTCAAAGTCCAGAGTGCTAACCAAATACACCATGGGACCAGTTGAAGGACGTGTATAATGCGTATCGATCATTTTACAATGGAATCAAGAGCAAGCCACTAGGGACACACTCTTGTGTGTGTCTATCTGTAATATCTTGATAAGTATTATATTACCCGACGTACCCTAGAACTATGTACTGTGAGAGTAACGCGTATGAATACCTCACGTGCCTGTGAAGGTAGTCCGCACGTGCTGTCACTCGGCTATGACATATTGACCGGCCATGTGGCTGGCGAAATAAAAGTCTCTCCCCAACGTCTCTGGTTTTGTCTCTAGTCTGAGGGCTAGGTTATAACAATTGGCGACGAGGTATAAACCTGAAGTTTTGCGAAGTTTGGAAGCGCAGTCGAGATGGCATCGTCTGTATACGGGAATCTTGGCGAGTTTAACGAAACAGTCGAAGATTGGAGCCAATATGCGGAGCGAGCCGAGATCTTCTTCGAGGCGAATTCCATAACTGAACGCAAAAGTCAGACCTTGCTGAGTTCCGTGGGAGGTAAAACTTATGGATAAATAAGAGACTTACTTCGCCCCGAAAAGCCGACGTCAAAAAGTTTTGAGGAACTTGTGAAATTGTTGAAAGACCATTACAACCCCCAACCGTCGAAGATTGTGCACCACTACAACTTCAACACGAGAGTACGGAAGCCCAACGAGACCATCAGTGAGTTTGTTGCTGTATTGAGAAAACTGACTGAATTTTGTGATTATGGAGCATTCCTTGACGACATGCTGAGGGACAGATTCGTTTGCGGTATAAACAAACAGAAAATGTTATCCAGGTTACTGTCAGAAGATAATTTGACATTCAGCAAAGCCGTTGCCATAGCAACATCAATGGAAGCGGCTGACAACAATTCTGCTGATCTTCAGAAACAAACTGCAACATCCAGTGACACTGGTATCGTCAACTTTATTACGAAGAAACCAGCCAGGGGAGGTAACTACAGTTCTTCATGTTTTCGTTGTGGCGGAAGACATGACCCTTCAACATGCCGTTTTAAAGATCAGGAGTGTAACTCGTGTGGACTTGTTGGACATTTATCACAGAAATGTCTCAACAGGAGGGGAAATGGTCAGAGGAGAGCTTCACATCGAGGTGGGAGACAGAGTCGAGGTCGCCGAGGTGGACATCACAGACAGTACGGAAATAGAGCGAACTACATTCAAGAACATGATTCACAGGAGGATTCTGAGTGATTTGTGGATGTGAGTGAAGCATATGAAATGTTCATGGTTTCTGGTTCAGTGATCAAACCAGTTTATGTACCAGTACAAGTCAACGGTCAAGAGTTGAAGATGGAATTTGACACTGGGGCTGCGGTATCCATTGTGAGTGAAAAGACTTTGTCACATCTTCAACAGAGTGTAGAGAACTTGACTGTGACACCTACGACTAAATCATACCTTGGATACACCGGAAATAAGCTTGATCTTGCGGGACAGGTGATGGTGGAGGTTGATTTTCAAGGAGTGACTTCGAGTCTGCCCCTATTAGTCGCACGAGGGAACCGTGCTAGTCTGTTTGGACGTAACTGGATTGATGTGTTTGATGTTGATTGGAATATAATCAAACATGTGACTGCTAAGGATTCGCAAAGCAGTTTGAGAACTGTGTTGGATAAGCATCATGAAGTGTTCAAGGATGGTTTGGGTACGTTCAAAGGAAAGAAAGCAAAGATATATGTTGACAAGAATGCCCAACCGATCTTCCATAAAGCAAGACCAGTCCCATATGCATTGAAGCAGAAGATTGAACAGGAGCTTGATCGCCTAAAGAGTAATGGTACAATAGAAGCTGTAGAGTTTTCTGAATGGGCAGCACCAATAGTACCTGTGGTGAAGTCCGACTCGAGTATAAGAGTCTGTGGTGACTATAAAGTGACTGTGAACAAAGTGTCCAAGTTGGATAAATACCCAATTCCAAAGACAGATGACCTGTTCGCAACATTAGGAGTAGCAAAGTTCTATTCTAAGTTGGACCTAAGTCAAGCTTACCAGCAGGTCTTGTTGGACGAACATTCCAAGCAGTACGTCACAATAAATACATATAAAGGACTCTTTCGGTATAACCGTCTGCCATTTGGTGTGTCGTCATCTCCTGGTATATTTCAGCGCATCATGGAGAATACCCTACAAGGTCTTCAACAAGTTCTGGTCAGGATTGATGATATTCTGATTGGTGGCCGTTCGAGGCATGAACACTTGACACTCTTAGATGAAGTTCTGAGGAGACTAGCGGCAGCAGGTCTGAGAGTTCGTAAGGACAAGTGCAGCTTCATGGCAACAGAAGTTGTGTATCTTGGATACCGTCTGGATAGAGAGGGCACCCATCCAGTCGCTGAAAAGGTCAAGGCCATCAAGGAAGCGTCGCCTCCGCGGAATGTGACAGAACTGAAAAGCTATTTGGGTATGCTGAACTATTATGGAAGGTTCATGCCAAACCTTTCCACTACTCTGGCAGCGTTACACAAACTGTTACAGAAAGAAGTACCATGGAAGTGGACAAGCCGACAACAGTCAGCTTTTGAGAAATCCAAGTCACTGCTGTGTTCTGATAAAGTTCTCATTCATTATGTTGCGAAGAAGGAACTGATTCTCTGTTGTGATGCATCGCCCTACGGAGTTGGTGCGGTACTGTCTCATCGTACTGAAGAGGGAGGCGATCGTCCCATTGGATATTCATCACGCTCCCTAAACTCCGCTGAAAAAAAACTATTCACAACTGGAAAAGGAAGGCTTAGCAATGCTGTTTGGTGTGAAGAAATTTCATCAGTAGCAGGAAATCATTTCACTATAGAGACTGATGACAAACCGTTGTTGGGATTATTTTCTGAGACCAAAGCGATACCAATGATGGCATCAGCACGGATTCAGAGGTGGGCACTAACATTGTCTGCTTATGAGTATGAACTTGTCTTCAGACCAGGATCACAGATCGCCAATGCGGATTGTCTGAGCCGACTTCCTGCGAAAGAAAAACCAAGTATTCAAGAAACACCTGTACCTCCGGAATACATCATGCTTCTCGAACTGATGGATACTACACCTGTGACATCCAAACATATTCGTTCATGGACGCGCCACGATCCTGTGTTGTCAACAGTGTTGAGATATGTGCAGTGTGGATGGCCTAATTTCTGTGAAAACCAAAAAATGAAGGCATACTACTGTCGCCGTGATGAGCTGACAGTGCAGGATGGCTGTGTGTTGTGGGGTAACCGTGTAGTGATTCCCCCGCCAGGTCTGGATAGGATTATTCGTGAACTTCATGAGGCACATCCAGGAATCAGTAGTGAGCGTGGGAGATTCAAAGACGAACCAAGTCAATAGCATGCACAAACGTGCATGCAAATGTGTAAGGCCTTCAGACAACTACATATCAAAGTGTTGCCTACCTTGTTAGCGTAAATCTTGTATTCTACGGAACTACTTCAAATCTCGGTAGAACCTAAGGCCTTCTTTTGCAGGATTTTGAAGTTGATTTTCATGTGGCAGACACAACCAATAAAAAGTCAGCAAACTACTTTGGACAAGTAAAACTACCTTTACACATCTACATCACTCACACAATTGTAATGTCAAACAGTGATCCCACCTTAATGTTTTTTCATCAATCCAGTACATGATAAATGATAGACACACACAAGAGTGTGTCCCAAGTTGCTTGCTCTTGATTCCATTGTAAAATTATCGATTTCATTATACACGTCCGTCAACTGGTCCCATGATGTATTTGGTGAGCACTGTGGACTTTGAATCCCGCGATCCGAGTTCAAATCTCGGTGGGACCTACTTTGTTAAAGTAGAGTATTGCTAAATTCCTGAAGTGCGTGAAAGATACGCGCCAATGACTTCAGCAAACGAAGGCCAATTTCATTGATGATTATGGCCGTTTTGAAATAACAGCGTCTGAAATATGCATTTCCTAACTACAGTTGAAAAGAAAAACAAATCAGATGGGTGATGATATCCATAAAAAGACAGTATCGAGCACCTCTGGCAAGAGAGAAGACAGAAATGAAATAGCGAGAAAAAACTACTGATTGAGTTTATGGGATACTTTAAAGTGTAGCACCTATGTCCGGCGCGTGTTCAACTTGCACCACGTCAGAACTACACCTTGACACATCATTCATCATATTTGACAAGTGTGATAATGGGACAGTCACACGCCTCTCTGCAGAAGGGATTTGGAGTATGTAACACCAAAGATTTTCAGTATGAGATAAGCGGTTCTATGGTGTAATGGTTATCACTCTGGACTCTGAATCCAGTGATCCGAGTTGAAATCTCGGTAGAACCTACTGCGTTCTTTTGCAGGATTTTAAAGATGATTTTCATGTGGCAGACACAACCAATAAAAAGTCAGCAAACTACTTTGGACAAGTAAAACTACCTTTACACATCTACATCACTCACACAGTTGTAATGTCAAACAGTAATCCCACCTTAATGTTTTTTCATCAATCCAGTACATGATAAATGATAGACACACACAAGAGTGTGTCCCAAGTTGCTTCCATTGTAAAATTATTGATACGCATTATACACGTCCGTCAACTGGTCCCAATGTGTAATGGTTAGCACTCTGGACTTTGAATCCAGCAATCAGAGTTCAAATCTCGGCGGGACCTACTTTTTTAAAGTAGAATATTGCCAAATTCCTGAAATGCATGAAAGATACGCGCCAATGACTTCAGCAAACGAAGGCCACTTTCATTGATGATTATGGTCGTTTTGAAATAACAGCGTCTGAAATATGCATTTCCTATCTACAGTTGAAAAGAAAATCAAATCAGATGGCTAATGATATCCATAAAAAGACAGTATCGAGCACCTCTGGCAAGAGAGAAGACAGAAATGAAATAGCGAGAAAAAACTACTGATTCAGTTTATGGGATACTTTAAAGTGTAGCACCTATGTCCGGCGCGTGTACCACTTGCACCACGCCAGAACTACACCTTAAAACATCATTCATCATATTTGACAAGTG